ATAGGGAATGAATCTTCCCGTGTTCGTGGAAATATACGTTCAGGTGTTGCAAATTGCTGGCCCACAAAGTAGTCACAGAGAGAGAGAGAGAGAGAGAGAGAGAGAGAGAGAGAGAGAGAGAGCTGGCTTTCAGATCACCCGGGAGCGCCTCCAACGGCAGTAAGGGCGTGCTAAAAAGTTGGATGGTACCGGTAGGGGCATCCTGAAAATTTTCCCGCTGGCTTTGAACGGCCATCGGGTAGGGGCATGCTGCAAATTAGGGGCTGGCTTTGAACGGCCATCGGGTAGGGGCATGCTGCAAATTAGGGACCGGTACTGGTAGGGGCGTGACGAAAAGATTTGAGGCCCAAAGGACACCAGGGTCTTATGGAAAATTCGAACCCTGCTCAGAGGGGCGCGACAGGGTAAACCGGCCATCAGAGGGGCGCGACGCGAAATAACGCAAAATACAGGAGCGCCAGACAAATTTTCCCTTTTTTTAAAGGCTAATTCTTTTAAGCCCAACCAATTCAATTACCCGTCGAATCTGGACAGGACGGCCTTTCAGGCCTTTTTTATTGTCATTATATTATTACGGGGAACCCCGTAGCAGCCACATGCGTGCTCAAGCCTACAACGAGGGAACATGCGGGAGCTGCACCCACTAGCAGGTTTGTCATTATAGTATTACGGGGAACCCCGTAGCAGCCACATCCGTGCTCAAGCCTCCAACGAGGGAACATGTCGGAGCTGCACCCACTAGCAGGTGCGATACCTGCTACAGCAGGTGGGCGATACCGGCCAGGGGTCAGGCAGTAGCATCAGGATGGACCTTCTTCGATGGGCCAGTCACTTTGCCTCCTCTCCGGTCCCCTCCCCCTATGAACATCATCAGTCTCTGCTCAATGCCACTCGGGGGGACCAACGGCATATCTCTAGGTGGCGGGCGCCAAGCTTGCCCAGGAAGGTACATGAGGCCAGTGGGGATTGAACCCAAGACCTCCTGAATGCCACTTGCATGCCTTACCAACTGAGCTAGGCCGCTGGATCTCCCCGGCATATAGTGATTACGTATACGCATTGTGAAATGCATCGGAGCCTGATGTTGTCAGGGAGTCGCAGATTTCGGGAATCACCGGAAGTTGAGGGAGGTGGGTATGCAGTCTGCGTGATGCAGCGAGCATTCAGTGACAACACTGAAGAATACATAGCCTGAATAAATAAATAAGTAAATAAACGATAAAGTCGGATAAACGATAAATAAAGGACGGGATCAGCAGAGTGGTCGACTTGCGATATGCGTAGGCGTGCGATGTGCTTCCGGAATTCTACGTAACGAAATGGGAATGGTACCACAAACAATTCACGGAACTGCTTTGTAACGGTGTTGGGAATGCTACGTTACGGGAGAGGAACATAGTCATTACGTATACTCATTACGTATACGTATCGTGAAATGCATGGGAGCCTGCCACTGTCAGGTATCGTGGATTTCGGGAATGACCGCAAATTCAGGGAGGTGGGCATGCAGTTTGCACGACGGGACGAATAAATGAATAAATAACCAAATAAATAAATAAATAAGCAGTAAGCAATAAGCAATTGCATGAGACAATCCCACGAGTAGCATGACCATGACCGACGTGTTGGGAAGGAGATCATTTGGGCATCGGGGCCAGGGCACTATTATTTTTCGCCGACATTGGGAAGGTATCGGGATCTCTGTATTCTTTGCATCCAGCGCTTATTAGCGGATAGAGGAATGGGGTGCCGCCGTTGGTATCGCTGCGGCGATAGTCGAAGAGGGGAGCATTTGCGCTACTCGTGTTGAGGGGGAAATGGGGGAAGCGTGATCACATTCTGGGGTCGGAGATGCGCGAGGAAAATGAGGGCGTATTGTGAAATCTATCCGAGCGTGACACTGTCAGGGAATCGTGCATTTCGGGAATCAGCGCAAATTCAGGGAGGTGGGCATGCAGTCTGCACGACGGGACAAATAAATGAATAAAAAGCAATATGCAATTCCATGAGACAATCCCACGAGTAGCATGACCAGGACCGATTTCCCTCATTGACGTGGGGAAGGTATCCGGATCTCGTATTTTTTGCATCCAGCGTTTATTAGGGGATAGGGGAATGGGGTGCCGCTGTTGGTATAGCTGCGGCGATAGTTGAAGAGGGGAGCATCTGTGCTACTCGTGTCCAGGGGGAAAGAGAGGAAGCATGATCAAATTGTGGGGTCGGAGATGCGCGAGGTAAATGAGCGCATTGTGGGGTCGGAAATGGGGAAAGCGTGGTCGCATTGTGGCCCTTTGTGGGGAAATGGGGGAACCGTGATCGAATTGGAGAATATGTGCTGTGAGGAGTAGGCGGGTGGGCCGACGACAATCTTTTGCTGGTTTTTCCGGCAGAGGATTCGCCTGACGGGTCCGTGCTCAACTGAATTGTTGAAAGATTTTATCTTTTCCAAGATTTTCGCACGATCATCATTGCTGTTCATGTCAGATTATTGTGAGTGAGCGCAAGGCCTCAGTTGTCAAAGCATTTCCATGAGAAACTGCGTGGTTCCTCAGTTGTCAAAGCATTTCCGCGACATTGTCCTCAATGTCCATCATATTATGAATACATTCTGTGTGTACAACTGCCCGCATTCGAGTTTGGGTGCATGCCAAGCTTGGCCGCATTTGGTTGGGTTCACCGACAATCTGCGTAACACCTGCAATGATGCAGGCATAGCGAACTGTACACGTTCTAAGAGCCAGCTACCTATATAGTACGAAAGAGCCATGCACAAGGCAACATGCACATCCAACCTACGGGTTGAATAAATGGGACATCAGTGCATCACAGAGGTAGCCGATCAGAGTTGTTCAGACGTGCGCAGACTTTGACAGGGTGGACAGAACACCTGCTAATTTTCGATTTTATGTCAATTCTGAGCATGTGAAGCTGTCCTTTTGGATGTCCTTCACCTCTGTCATCGTCCTATCTCGAGTTGCTTCCCTCTGCTTCCTATTCCAACTTGCCGGTGGACACGGATTGTCCCGACTCATTTACTTATCATTGGTGAATTTGAATGCACGAAATGTGACACCTCTGCTCGTTCCCATTTCTCATATATACGTTAATGTGAATGCACTATGAACGCACTGAAAGAACTCAATCCATTCTTCGATGACTATGGTAATCCTACTGCATAATTCTTAGTCTTTATTGCCACGGAAAGGTGCTCCCCATTGCCATGTGGACCTACCACTTCTCGTCACCCATGATGTTCATGCCACACTGTGGAACCTTTCGCTTATATCTTACCTGCTTCGCCTTTCTCCATTAACTATTCATTGTCCTGTCTTCAAATGTCAATTCAACCGACAACAAATATTCAGTACAACTAAAACACGCGGGCGAAGCCGCGCTGGCCATATATATAGATAGATAGATAGATAGATAGATATATAGATATATATAGATATATATATATATATATAGCATGACTCATGAGTGCATTATTATGTATGTATCACATAACGCATGAGTCAGACAGACCCAAACGACCTTACCGCACAGCATGCTGCCCAGTAGACTAAGTGCAATAAGACAAACAACAACAACAACAACAACAACAACAACAACAACAACAACCAAACATCATGAACAGTGAACTTGTGACTGAAGTGTGCAGGTATGTGACTGTATGTCTAACTCCATTTCCTTCCAAACACAGGGCTCCAACTTTTTCCTTATCTCTGCATTCAGCAACATGTTCCTCAAAATAAAAATATTAAAAATAAACAAGGAGGAAGACGAAAACATCACCCTGTTCCCTACCGTTTGTTTATTCTGTCTGCGATGATCCAACCTGCTGCAGAACCGCTTGTTATAAAGTATTACTAATCTAGGTTTTGCGCAGGTCGTCACACTCACGAAGCCAATGGCGATGAAAAAGAAGTTGAGCTTGAGCTTAAGCATGGCAAGCGATCTACCACCGTCGGCTATTGGAGACGACAAGAGGTTAATGCAGACGACTCTGAACATTGTGGGGAATGCAGTGAAGTTCACGAAGGAGGGTAGCGTGTCGATTGGAGTTTCGCTGGAGAGGCCAGAGAACTGGAGGGAAATAAACCACCCTGAGTTTGAGTTCATATGGGATGACAAAAGCTTCTATGTCCGGGTACAGGTATGTCTATCGCTTGACTTATATTGAGTTATATATCTAGCCACGTATACCGATGGATGACGGGTTAAGAAATCGGAGTGCTGCGTCAGATGCAAAAACAATCAGTAGTGCAAGTACTGATACTATGATTATTTTTATTTTTTTCTTCCCTCTTTTTTTTTTCTCCCTTTTTATAATTGATATGAATTTATGAAATAATTATCTGATACTATGAGAATTATGTGGATGATATTAGCCTCTCTTATTTGACACCTAAGGCCGAAGGATGATTCATATATGAGAATTGACTAAACTCATTCTCGGTGAACTTTTATGAATAAGAAATAATGTGTGCGGGTCAGAATGAGTCAAATTAAATGAACATAACGACGTGCTCCTGGGCATTGCATATCACAAAATATGGAATTTTCCTCTCATGCCCTATACAATAGACAGCTGCTGCTCCCCACCAATAGACTGGAGCCCTCTGACAGGGTTTACTACTGGGGGGTGCTGCTATTATCACACCCAGCAGTAGGTCCGGGTGGAGTTAAAAAAAAAAGAAAAAAAAAAAGAAACAAGTCCGGCAGCGTCACACTTTTAGTTTCCAAATGGCAAAAAAAACATGTGCGGGCAACAAAATCGGGTGCAGAGTTTGGAAAGGGTGATATCGGTGAAAATGGCTGTGGCCTGAGTGTGATTTTGTTGCCCTTTTCAAGCTGGGTGCGAGAGTTTGTTGCCCTTTTTTTTTTCTTTTTTTTCTTTTTTTGGAGAGAATTTCGGACCATATCTCGATTTATGCATGTCATCCTTGTGCAGGGGCCATGCTTAATCTTCTCTGGGGGTAATTGCAGGAATAGCGTGTTTTCGAAGTCTCGCAGCAGAAATGTTGAACGGGTCCGAAAAATCTATTTTTGCGCGGAAAGTGGGACCCCGCCTTCAAATAGTTTTGCTGTGAAACTATTGGGACCTCTAAGGCTGCAACGAAAGATATATTTTTGCAACAAACTTGGGCCCCGCCAATATTTTTGTTGTGAAACTACCACGACACGCTATGTTTGAAACTTACCCTCTTCTTCTCTGTATAGTTCCGATTTGAACGGATGTCCCAAGGGACAGTTTGTTGCCCTTTTCAAACTCAGGGCAGGGCCCCGAGTGGGTAAAAATGCTTTTGTTGCCCTTTCAAACTCCTGCAATCAGACTCGCTTTCATTCACACTTTACATGTATGCAAACAGTAGCGCAGCAAACTGGCGACATGCGCCCACTCAAAACTCAGAGATATGGCAATTCAGATACGAGTTCACTTTCAATGGCTATGGCGGCTCAGCGCCCAAACAACTCTCTGTTCGCATACACCGGATCACCCTGGATATCCGACACGCGACTCTCGGAACACTCACACACACACACGCACACTGAACCTCAACTACAGCTATGGCGGCTATGTCCGCCTCTACCCTATCGCTATGCTACGCTCCTCTCTCGCCCACTTCGGCTCTGGGCTCACTGCAGACCTCCTTGCACAAGTCGCTGTGGCAGTGCTTCCGCATGGCTCACGCAGGAATGAATGAATGGCTGGGCGCTGCTTCTTGATTTATACTCCTGAAACTCGTTGGTCTGCCCTTTTCCATCGGCCCTTGGTGCTCACAGTCCCTTGTGTTACTTGCTGGACCGGACTGGGACTGACTGGACCTTACCGCTGACTGAATGGGGACTCACTGCTATCCTACTGCTACCGTACTGCAAACGTACTGCAGCTGGTCCACCACTTGACTCACCACTTGCCCACTTGCCCACTTGCCGACCTTCTAGAAGGCTACAGCTAAGACTTCTAGACTCCACTAAGACTTCTATTCAACAGACCTACAGATCAAACCCCTACAACCTACGACAGCCTATCAACTGCTACAAATACACAGGTCGTGGGTTCAACTCTTGGGTCGACACAGGTACTGTACACAGGTAAGGTGGGGACTAGGGATCGAGCCCTGGGATCTGCGTCTGCTACTGCAAAAAGGTGAAAACCGTTTCACTCCCGCCGTCCTAAATTCGAGGTCCTCTGAGACTATTTTAGTCCAAGGCAGGACCTTTACCCTTCTTATCACGCTCGTAAGCTCTGACTATGTCGGGAGCTGTTTCTAGAAGTTCTGTCCTAGTAAACCAGCGGTCGTCTTCCGGTTCCTGATAAGCAAACCGGACCTTATACTGTTTCTGTGGACGACCTCTACCTCCTGTCCTGAACACATCTTCATCTACAATGCCGTCAATGTCATATGTGCCATCCATATCCGGAGGGATCATGGATCTCCTTGAAGGGAACTGCTGACTTGTGACACATGGCAACAGCTTTGAAGCATGGAACACTGGGTAGGTATGGAGGTGTGCTGGAATCTCTATAGTGTAGGACGGTCCATCCTCTCCGCCCTTGACTTCTAGAACCGGCCATGGTCCTCTATATGCAGGCAATAACTTCTGTGAGATGTTCTCCTCAGGTGCAAACTCTTTAGACTTGACTCAGACCAGGTCGCCTACCTGAAAGTGCGATGGGCGACGGTGCTTATTAGCCTGTTCTATCATGCGGTGCTGGGCCTTCCTGAGGTTTTCAACAACAGTTGCTAGCTCTCTCTCGTGCTGTATCGCGAACTCCCTGGTACCGGCGGTAGTCTGTGAATCTGAACCCGGGTAAGTCCTTCAAACGGTCTGCGGGGTCTAAAGGACTTTTGTAACTCATTGGGAGTGTGACAGGTAGACAAATGCACGCTGTTATTGTATGCGCTGGCTACCTTGGGCAACATCTCGTCCCAATTGACTTGATCCGGTCTAATATACATGCGCAGAACTTGCTGCAGGGTCTTGTTCATCTGTTCTGTCTTACCATTAGTCTCTGGATGACGGCCAGATGACATCAACAACTTTGAACCATAGACTCTCATCAGTTCCTGCCAGTTCTGGCTCGTGAATCTGGTGTCTCTATCACTAACTATAGACAATGGGACTCCGTGGTCACTAACCCAATGATAAAAAAACTTCTGAATGACTAACTCCGTACGGGCCTCTGCAGGCAAAGGAACAAAAACTGCATATTTACTGAATCTATCAACTATGACCATGACTTGGCTCTTGCAGTGTCTACTCTTGACACCGGCATCCATAAAGTCAACGGAGACTGAATCTCTCGGTTGGTCCGGGATAGGCAAGGGTCTGAGAAGACCTAGGGGGGCACGCGTAGTGGTCTTGTTCCTCTGGCAAACTTTGCAACTGCGAACATACTTTATGCAGTCAGCTTTCATTCCTGGCCAGGTATACGCACGCATCAGATTGGCTTAAGTCTTCTGCCAACTGAAGTGTCCCTCTGTGTCATGACATTCCCCTAAGATCAGGCTACGGATCTCCTCACTGTTTGGAATGCACAGGCAGCCTACTACATTAGTCTTCTCAAACAATAGTCCCTCAATAGTGCGGTAGTCTGGTTCGGTCTCAGAGGCCTCCTTAACTCTCTTGAGGAGGTCACTATAGATAGGGTCCTGCGCATACGCCTGTCACACTTTCTTTTGCAGGTCCTTTCCTATGTCCAGATAGTGCACTATAGTAGTCTGATCTCCTACTTAGAGCATCCGCAACTACGTTGTACTTGGCTTTGACCGGTTTGAGCTCAAAGTCATACTGGTCTATCTCAGCGGCGCACCTAGTCAACTTAGGTGTCATTTTGGCCTGGGTCTTTAACCATCTAAGCGTTTCATGGTCTGAGTATACTTTGAAGTGCCTCCCAAGCAGGTAATGCTTCCAGTGCTCTGAGGCCTGCCTGAGAGCGTAGAGTTTTCTCTCATACGTCGAGGTGGCTACTTTCTCTGAAGGCATCCTCGCTGACATGAACTCTACGGGTCTATAGCCATTGCCGTCATCTTGCTGCAACACGGCGCCTATACCATATTGACTCGCGTCCGTGGTGACGACAAATGGTAAAGACGGATCAGCTACTTTGAGGACAGGATACTCTATCAACGCGTGCTTTAACTTCTTTAGCGCAGACGTACAGTCTCTATCCCATTGCCAGATTGCCTCTTTCTTAAGCAACCTGCGCAAGGGAGCGGCAATAGTAGAAAAGTTCCTCACGAACTTCCTATAATAGTTAGCTAGGCCTAAAAACGACCGCAACTCTGTCAATGTGCAGGGCGTCGGCCAGTCTCTAATCGTCGCCATCTTGCTGTCCTCTGGTTTAATGCCATCTCCGTCTAACACGTGGCCCCAAGTACAGGATTTGTGTCTTGGCCCACTCGCACTTCTTCGGTTTGATTTTGAAGTTAGCCTCTCTTAGCTTCTCCAAGACCTGTCTCAAATGACCCTGATGCTCTTGGAGGGCCCTGCTGAATACTAATATATCATCGAAATAGACTACTACGGACTTATCTAACCACGGTCTGAACAGATCATTCATACAACGCTGAAATGTAGCTGGCGCGCTGGTTAGTCCAAAGGGCATCACTATGAACTCATAATGCCCATATCTAGTCCGGAACGCAGTCTTGTACTGGTCATCAGGGTGAACCTCAATCTGATGATACCCGGACTTCAAATCTATCTTAGAGAAATACTTGCAACCCTACACCCGATCTAAAAAATCGTCTATCCTGGGCAGTGGTTCAACATTCTTCACTGTGATGGCATTCAAACCCCTATAGTCTATGCACATGCACAACTCTCCCTCTTTCTTGGGGACAAACAAAACAGGTGTTCCAAAAGGAGACAAACTGGGCCTGATCCAACCTTTTTCCAGGAGCTCGTCCAACTGCTTACGTAGCTCTTCTAACTCTCTAGGGGACATCCTATAGATTGCTCCCTTAGGAGTTCTACTGCCAGGCTCTATCTCTATTCTGTGCTGGATTGGTCGCAGCACTACTCCTGTCGGCGACTCAGTCAAATCTTTGAACTACTCCAGCAGCTTGGCAATGGTTGGATCCGTGGAACTATCTTCTTCCTTAGGCTCAGTGACAGGTCTAACATATACTACAAAGACCTGGTCCTCTAACTGCTCCTTTTTCACTAGTCGCGCGAACGCGGGAGCACTAAGACTGCAGTTTGCCAGAGTGTTATCTACACCTGACACATGAAACAGGCGGGCAGTTTTAACCTCGCCTGACGGACTAGGGAGCCTACACTCATGCTCTCTCAAGTGGAGTGTGGCCCCTGCTGCCTTTTCCCAATCCATTCCTAACACTATGTTGAAATGGAGGTCATCCTGAACGAGGGGAGTCAGGGAATGGAGAACTTTCTCCACCTTCCCATCCTTTTCTAGGCAAAAGTACGCCTGGACTCCCTCTACGTAGTCCTTAACACGCATTGTGCGGTTGTCTGCGAGCACACTGATTATGGGGTTTGCCAATTTTTGGACTTTCAATCCTAGCCTCAGTTTCTTCAGCGCCCTACGGCTAATGTAACTATGGGTAGCCCCTGAATCTATAAGTGCCCCTACTCTACTCCTGAACACTTCTACATCAACTAAGATTAGCTGTCCCTTACTCTCCTTCTTCATTTTGGCCCAGGCAGGCATTCTCTCCTTCAACTCTTCTGCCACACCTGTGAGGGACGTGCCTAGAGAGACGCTAACACAAGCAGTCTCTGGACAGCTAGCTAGGCACGGGCTTGCAACCTCTGCCATAGGCTCATGTGGTTTGGGAGTTTCCTGTTCGCGCGCGCTCGCTTCCCCACATGGCCTTGAAGTAGGGGCAGTTGCGACCCCTACTGGCGGATGCCTTTTGACTGCTGAGCAGCCCATCGGGCCTGTCTGTACTTAGGACAAAATTTGATAACATGGGCCGGATCACCACAAAACACGCACTGACCCAAGTCCATGCGTTCCTGCCATACGCGTTGGTCCAAACCCAAATCCTCTCTGGGCTTGCCCTGCGGCAAGCCAGGGTGCCATCCTCCTTGAGGTGGCGTTCCACCTCTTCGCTGCGGGGACCGACAAGAACCTTGGCGATTTGGCGGGGGACCTTGACCCCTACCACCCACATGGCGGTTCCCTGGTCCGCCAACCCCCTGTGCGCCCGGTCGTCGGCCTCCCGTGGCCTGGCCCCTTTGGCCCTGGCGTCCTCCTCTACCTTGCGGCCTACCTCCAGCTGCGACAGCCGCATAGGACCTCCCCTGCCCTACGCTGCTGTCCTCTTCCTCTAACCCCCACTCAATCTCACTGTAGGGGACTTTATCAGTACCACCTTCTTCTAAAGTAAGGATCCTGTGATCCTTGGCCCTAACTTGGCCAGAGATGGTACGCCCTTTCCACTTCTTCCCTTTATCCAAGTCCTTATGCCAAAAAGTGAAAACTGGCATGGACAAACAGGACCGCCTCTCTACTTAGCACATCATAGGTGATGTCGGCCTGTTGAGATTTGTCAAAGAAATGCCCACGCAGGAGCTCGGGCATGGCACGATAGAACAATTGGACCAGTTGGGTCTTAGTGACCCCATGGTCCGGGACGGGTGCTCTTGCACTCCTCCACTGTCGTGAGTGGATAGTTTGTAACTTGTCATAGGCTCTAACGCCTCTCGATGGATCAACAAATCTCTCCCTCAGGAGTTTGAAGAATTGAGGAAGGGGGGTGACCTTAGAATATGCAACCAGGTTGTTTTCACAACCGGCTGCGGGCGCAAGGGATCTGGCAAAGCTAGCCGCTTCGTCCTTGAGGGCCTGGAAGGCGACGAGGACTTGCTCCTCAGTCAAGATGTGTTGTAAGTATATATAGCTATTGATGCTTGCCTCCCAGTTATCGAAATTCTCCTCCTTCCCGCCGTATGCATCTAGGAATTTCAGTTTGACGGGCTCTGTACGAGGCCTGGCCTCACTATCGACAGTGGCTACCGCTTTGGCACTCTCAATAGCGCCCTCACAGAACTTTCCCACGCTGTCTCTCAACCGTCTAACTTCGCCCCCAACGTGGGTGACCATATCGCGCGCAAAATCCCGAAATCCTGACCGCATGGCCTTCAGGGCCACATCGTGACCCCAGTTGGCTTGGCGCTCCTCCATCCAAGCTGCACTCAACACTTCCAAGTATCCCAACATCTTATCCATTTTGGCAGACATGTCTGTCTGCGCCTGCACTTCCTGTCTACAATCCCTCACTTTTGCCACTTTTGCGGTCAACCTGTTAACTTCCTCCCTTCTCCTCTTCTTTTCTCTTTTCATCCTCAGTTTCCATTCCAACTTCTTCTCCTCCTCTACTTCTTGCCTTTCCAGGGGGTCCTCGATTGCTGCTAGCTCATTGGCTAACGCATCCCTCTCATCCTGGGGCACATAAAACTCTGCCTCCTCCTCATCCCCCAATGATAAATTAGCAATCCACTCGCTGATCTTCTTCTTCATGGTTGCATCCTTATTTGTCGTGCCACTACTTTCCCCTTTTACCTCCCTGCGTTTTCTCTCCTCTTCTGCTTCTGCTGCTGCTTCTTCCTCGACAGCCTTTTTCTTCTCCTCTATCTCTTCTTCCAACTTCTTCATCTTCGCCGCCTGCTCCTCTGCGATTGCTTTCAACTTTGCCTGTTTCAGGAGCTCTTTCCTCTCCTTGTTCTCTCTCACTAAGGCGGCCATCTTCTCTTGCTGTTCCTGGGTATAGGGGCTAGTGCTCTTCCCAGTACGGGTCTCAACCATGGTGATAGTGCACAACCGGGTTAGTGGTTCCGAACCTCACCACGTAGACTCTAACCCCTGACTGACAAACCTATTGACTCAATCTAAAGACTCACAGAATCCGAATAGGGATCCTGCCAACTAGGGTCTCTAGCCTAGACCTAACTATGGTTGTCACTACTAGACCTGTTGCTGATCAGGAGGCATTTAAGGAGATCCCCCGTAACTCCTCAGGAATTATTTAACGTCGCAGACAGGACGACGCGATCAGCAGGTCTCTCAACACTTAGACTGCGTGTTGCGCAGCCCACAACTCAGCCTTTCGGGCCTACCGTGCCACACCGAGCAGCCCGCCGGTCTGTACCGGTCCTTGGGAGGGTTAGGCCTCCGGGACAGTCGAGGCTTCTGACACAGTCTTTAGCCCTACTTGGTCTGGCAGGGGTTTGGTCAACAAGGCCTATCCTTCATCCACAGAGTACTATCACCTAGACAGAAGAGACTCGATGCAGAAAGAAGAGACAGATAGACTGGACTCAGCAAGTACCACAAGGTGTGTGCTCATCCATAGGGCGAGGGATAGGCTGAAGGCTTGGCGAGATTTTACCGGCTCCAACTTGGTCAAAATCTTGGTCAATGCCTGAGTCAACGCTCGGTCAATGCTCCAGTCAACCCCCGGTCAACTCCGGTCAACTCCTGGTCAACGCCGGTCAACTCCCGGTCAACGCCGATCAACTCTGGTCAACTCCTCTAGTTGGCTATGGCGGCCGGCTTCCCTTTTCCTCACCAACCTTCTTTTTCCCCTTCACCTTCCTC